ATCTATTCTGATTTGATAAAATCAAAACACAGATTATCCATTACTTTAGGTCACTTTTAATCCAACTAGAATCAACTAGATTGGATGCTTGAACGAGTTATATTTTGAATTTTAGATAATTGAAAATGTCAAAGTTGCGGACATTCTTTAAATTATGGGTTCATGGATGATTTGTCCGACCCTACACCCGGTGTTTTTCACCGGGTGTAGGGTCGAACAAATCATCCATGAACCCATAATTTAAAGAATGTCCGCAACTTTGACATTTTCAATTATCTAAAATTCAAAATATAACTCGTTCAAGCATCCAATCTAGTTGATTCTAGTTGGATTATAAAGTTACCTTAAAGTAATGGATAATCCGTGTTTTGAATTTTATCAAAATCAGAATAGATAGTAGTCAAAATTATATTCAAATTTAAAAATGATATTATTAAAATTCAAACTACATTCAATATTTCAGTTACTTATATAGTTCGCACGTAATTTATTGTGGATAAATAATATTTATGCAGTTGATATTTAGGCTTATCCAAAACTCTTACAGAAAAACATTTAATGTTCTTTCCATATTATTACACTAGTAATAACTATTTTATGGTTATTCCGGTTACGTTTTGCATAACTGATTGGATAATTATTCTATATTTTATTAATTATGGTAAATAAATTTATATATAGTAAATTCAATCTAAGCTATTATGAGAGATGACCCAAGTTTTAATTAGATCTTAATTCTTGATTCTTGAAATTCAAAATAATATTCAAATTGGATCATAATCTAGTTTCAAAAAAAATCATTTGAATATATTATTCATTTATGGTAATTAAAATTTCTTGGTGGTTATTTTTTATAAGGTGACAAGTATAATTTTGATCACTATATATATGTAACTTTCTCCACACATTTTGCATAAATCATTTTCTTTTCAAATAATCCATTACATTTGTTTTCTGCAAAGTCAATAATATGTTTAATTATTTAATTTTATTTTTCCTTATTACAAACAATTGTGTTTGTATGGGTTCTTCACTATCATTGAACAATTCTTTGGTTAGTGGTTTCTCACCTGCAGTTGCAACATGGTATGGAAGCCCTAATGGAGCTGGAAGTGGTAATATTAATATAATTTAATATTTAATTTATCTTTTTTTTTTTTATGTTCAAATATTATATATATTTATAATTTAAAATAAATAAAAAGATATATTTATGTTATATATTTTATTGTAATTTCCAGGTGGAGCTTGTGGATTTGCAGATGACGTTGCAAATCCTCCATACAATGGTCTTATTTCTGCTGGAAACCAAAATATATTCAAACATGGAGAGGGTTGTGGGACTTGTTATCAGGTTTTAATTAATATTATTTATTTATAGAATTTTTATATATAGAGAATTTTTTTTTTTTTTTGAAAAATAATCTAATTTATTTATATTTCAGGTAAAGTGCACAGAAAATCCAGCGTGCTCGGGTTTTCCAATCGTTGTAACGATTACGGACGAATGTCCCGGTACATGCAACAATGAAGCATTTCACTTTGACATGAGTGGAAAAGCTTTCGGGTATTTGGCGAAGCTCGGCCAAGCTGATAAGTTACGGAATGCAGGAAGAATTAATGTCCAATATCAAAGGTAATTAATAATCAAATTTTAGATCAACCCGATTAGGGAAAATCGTACATTGGTCTAGTTAGGAATTTAATCATCTCGTTTAATTTTGTTCTGTTTCAAATTTACACGCAATAACTTTGTAAATTTATCATCTTTCATCCTATCTTGCAAAAAAAAAGTCATTTTGTTCAATTTATTTTTATGGATATATATATGCTAAATTAAAAGTATATAAATTTTCCATTTTCTTAATTATCTTGGAAATTTAACTAGGCGAGTTTTTCACGACTTCGAATTTTGCAGGGTTCCATGCAAATACAACATGGGTATAACTTTCAAGATCGATACGGGATCCAACGCGAACTATATTGCGTTTGCAATTGAGTTTGTGAGTGGAGATGGCGATGTTGGTTCGGTTGAATTATTGCCTTCAAACTCGAAAAGTTCGTTGTCCATGCAAAAATCTTGGGGTTGCACATGGAAAGTTGGAATACCCGTTGGAGTAAAAGGCCCTTATTCCGTAAGGCTAACTACTATCGAGTCGAGAAACACAATTACCGCGAACAATGTAATCCCGGGGAATTGGTCCCCCGGCCAATACTATCGCTCGGAAGCCAATTTCTCTTAATTATATATGATCAGTTATTCGATCGTACATCGATTATAGCGCTTCGATGTATGTATTGGTTCAAGTTGATAGAGTATATTTTTTCTATCACTTGGTTAGGTTATTATTCGTGTTTTGACATGGATATTTTTATGTGTTTAAAGTGAAAACATAAAATCTTGGATCGTTGTTTGCAACACAACAATGAGTGATTTACTAATTATATTTTTGCAGTGTCTCGTATTTTATAGTGAAACACATTGTATTGGAGTTTCGATTTTCGTATTCTGAGAACCGAAACATGACTAGATCGATACGATATTTAATATTGAAAAAAACTAATTAATTAACCGATAATTGTGTAAATACGTTGCATATTTCTATCATAAATGTACAAACTTTGAAGTCGTTTTTCCCCGTTATTTTGGAAATAAATAAATAGGAAATAATGTAATACTTTTTTAGTAGAAAATAATAATTTAATTACCCGTAAATCGTAATACATAACTT